TTTTTGCCTTTCTGTGCTCTCCCAGAGGACCCCCAATCCGGGCTCTTTTCATTTTTTGAGAGTTGGCTGTCAAGGGGGGGGAAGGGGGGTATAAATTTGTTTAAAGGGGCTAAGGGGGTTTAAAGGGGGGGTGCCTTAGTGTGATTTTGTTATTTTCTTTTTTATCTTCGATTCGGTGAGGAATTCTGATGTGACCCTCAGCCAAAAGTTGTTTGTATTGCAATTCTACACAGCATAATTTTTTGGGGGAATGTTTTGACTTTCGTTGTTTTTTTTTTTTGCGCTGGGGCTGCCTGGAACCCTGCCTGGGGGTCATGCCCGACCTGGCACCCAGGCGTGTAGGGCACAAGTTGGGTGCCCGGGCGCCCGGGAAAAAACAGCCTAGTAATGCAGACAATTTTTTGATGCCGTGGGCAGTGGTGGTTTAAGAACAGAAAATGAAGAACAGACCAGAAGGTCTGGACTCCTTTCTATGCTGGTGGGCGTCAGTCCAGCTGCTTTTCACCCAGCATATCATGAAATGCAATAAAGAAACAGTGATGCTTGACTGCGAATATTGCCCGAAGCTGACTCCATTCACGTTAGCAATCGTCATTGTTTCCTGACCAAGCACAGCTGAACGGGTTCATGAATGTGAGGGGGCCAGAAAAAAGCGAGAGGAAAATTAATCATAGGTCAGCTCGAGATGTGACTCGATCGAGAGTTTCTTTTCATTTTAAAAATCAAATTCGTGTTGCACGCTTTGCGTGAGAACAGTCCAAAAATTCCAGATCGTAAATGTAGACATGAATTGGATTGGGCTGGGATTTGATGGAATAGCATTATTGGGTTGGATCGGATTGTATAAGAAGAAAGATGACTGTATCTGATCCTGGCTTATTACTGATGCAGGTGGAGGACCCATTCGACCGGTCGGAAAACTGTGCTCGGACGGTTCAGGGGTCTCTATTTGTACGGGTGCGAAATGCATTCCGTTCAACATCAGATGCACTCTCGTCCCACTTCCGCTCAGTGCAAAGGGCCGGTTCAGATTCTGCTTGCATGAGATCTGGTATTTCCGAGCTGCAGACGATGCTATTCTCGCCGAGAATCCCACCTGAACAGATAGCCAAACCAATGTGGCCGGTGACGGTGACTCAGGTCTGGCAACCTTCATTCCGTGAAATGCCTCCGGTTTGGCAACCTTCGTTGCGTGAAATGCCTATACAAACCACTATGGTTAAAACCACTATGGTAAATTCTAGAAAGGGTATGCCATGGCAGGATGGCGTTGCAGGAAAGATGGGTGGGCGGGTGCAGTTTTGCAAAGTGGAGCAGAAGTACATCAAGAAGGATCAACCATCAGAATGCGTGCAGAATTTAAGTTCAGCAAGAACGGAGGGGATGTTGCAAGGCGCGCAAGGAGAACAGAAGTACACCAAGAAGGAACAACCATCGGAGTGTTTGCAGACGGTAAGTGGGAGAATGGAGGGGATGTTCCAAGGCGCACAAGGAGCACAGCCGTTTCATCAGGATGATTTTCCGAAGCTGGAGAGGATTGTTAAGAAAGGGGCAGTAGTTGATGTGGAAAAGGGACCCGCTAGTCGGACGCGGGGCAACGTTGAACAGAAGAAAGTCGCCGAGGCATCTGCAGCCGGGGCTAAAGGAAGACCAGCAAGACAGCCGAGTGCTTCGAAATCCTTGATGAATGGTCCGGATGGTGTCAATTGTGTTGTTGAGGGAATCAGGACCCTCGAACTTGATCATAAATGCAGGAGTAAACAGATAGGAGAGGGAAGGGGAGTTGTACCTCAATCAGTGCAGCAGCGAGAGGCTGTGCAGAGAACGAGTATGGAGGGCTCCGGGGACCCTGCAATCGACCACAAAAGCAGGGAGAAACAGGTGGGAGAAGTGAGGGGGGGCTCACAGTTAAGGCAGCTGCAAGAGGCTGCACAGACGATGAATGCTGATGTCTGTTTCAACAGGAGTCAGCAAGGAAATGGAGATGCACGTGGGGCATGTGCAGGATCTTCTGATGGGGTAGCTGAGGACAGTAAAGGGAAGAAGAAACCAAAGAAGAGTGACAGACGCAGGTTGAGGAGGACACAGGGGTCGCTGTACGCACCAGGGGACGAGGAGGAATGTTCTTCTGTACGAGAGACGGGTAGCAGTTGTGCTCAGAAGGATGCCGGTTTTATGTCTAGCATTGAAAAGCCACATGGTCTCCAGTTAGGGAACCCCGCTGTTCATACAAGGCATCCGGAGGATGAGAGAGACACGAGTGGTGCTGAGACCTCCAATGCATGGGATCTGGATGTGAGTGGCACACCCACGGGGTCCTGCAGGCAACAACACTGCCAATCTACGAATGATGGTTCGAATACGTCCTTAGCCCCCCCAACAGCACCTGGGATGGTGAGCAAGGCATCAGGTAGCAGGATCACGGGGGCTGCGGTGCCAGCAAGAATACCGGAGAAGGAGATGCTGCGGGATCGGGCAGGGAAAGGCGAATACCATCAGTTGCGCCAAGGACAGGAGCAGAATGCTCAAACTAACAGGCTGAGTGATCCACCAGAGAAAAGGGGGAGGGGGGAGGGGGCATCAATACCAACTATGCAGGGGCCTCCAGGAGTGGATCAACAGCAGGGACAAGGTGTAAGCTTGGCCAGTGAATGGAAAACGCTACCCACTCATCAACTACTGCCATGCTCCACGTCATCAAACCATACTTCCCTGAGGCAAATCGGTGCATCATCGGCTCAGCTGCTCCAGGCACAAGCGGATGGTGGCCCCGAAGTACATGCATCCACACCTGACCGAAAATGCAAGAAAGAGCTTGCCACAACGTCAATGGATGGGCAGATTAGGGATAGGGGCTCTACCAGGGTATCAGCAAGCTTCAGTAGGAAGCCAGGCACGAGTGAGGCGAATCGGCCACATGGCCATGGTGGCAGCAGTGGCATGGAGTCATCCAAGCGGCGCCAAAGATCAAGGGTAAAGGCTGCAGCATAGGTTCCGAGCAAGGCTCCTCGACATGCTTCATGTGTCAGGTCATGCAACTAATTGCAGGAAAATTGTGGCATCGGAGTCTTGGCAGCTTGGACAAGCTCTGCAGTGTGAACTCTTTTTGTTAGGCCTGCAATGCACTGCCTCCATCTCTGAGTAGATAGTAGTCATCGTAGCAGTGGTGCAGGGGCAAGGCCTAAAGGGTTGCAGGTGCTTTCAGATCGTACGGATATTTGTAAAGCAGACTGACTGTCAGAACCCACTGTTTGGGCTCTTTGGCAGTGCATGCCTACACTGTAGGGAGAGGAGGGCAGGTGCTCATTGTAGAGGGTGTACTTGTAGAGTAGTCACTAGAGGAAGTTGCTGTAGAGGAAATTCAGTGTAGATGGCCTTCGCTGTGTCAAAGGCTCACTGTAAAGGGGGTCAACATTTGGGGTTGCTCCCAGGACAGAGAGGAGGGAGGGATTGGGTGGGGGGGAAGGTTGGCACGACAAGACTGGGGGGGGGGGGGGGGGGGGGGGGGGGGGGGGGGGGGGGGGGGGGGGGGGGGGGTGGCTTGACAACATCGGGAGGGGAGGGATGCACAGCGAGGGGGCAAACAGGGTGGGAGAGGACAGTTAAAAGAGGAGGGAGAGGAGCTTCGGATGAAGCCCTGTTTCCCCCTTTGTAGTGGTGTTGGGGTTCAACATTTGGGGTCGCTCCCAGGATAGAGAGGAGGGAGGGGATGGGGGGATGGCATGGTGGGATAGAGGGGAGGGAAGCGGGGGTAGGCGCCGAACAGGGTTGGAACGGACAGTCGATAGAGGAGGGAGACAAGATTCAGACGAAGCCCTGTTCTCCCCTTTGTTGAGGTGTTCACTTTTTGGGATCTTCAAGGCTGGCCCGCACAGGCCGGGTCCTTACCAGCATGCAGGTACGAACGATATGGCCGTGAATTGGGATTTGGGTAACGAGTCTGTATAAAGCGTGTAAAACCGCAGCTCGATCCATGGCCTTGATGGAGGTTACTATTGCCTCGTCCCCTGAGAAGAAGCTCATGCCGACTTCGTTACTTCGGACGGAGTGTGATATGCCCGATAAGCCAAATCTGGCTATATGCTGAAACCTCCGCCGAGTATCCAATAATGAATGCATCGGTGCGGACATAGTTGCTGTATAGGGGTGCACATGTGGGCAGGGGTGACAGCTGTCACTATAGTCAAAAGCTTGTGAAGCGGATAGAGAGTTTGTGGTTGTGTATGTATGATGTGTGATCATCTGCCCCAATGATGGTAAAGTTCTTTGCTTGAAGGGGTTCAGATGATGGGTGGTGATAGCGTAGGAACTTGAGCGCCCTCACTTTTGTGCGGCACACATCGTCGCAGTGTTTGTTTGTTTTTGGGAGCGGCTCTTTCTGCAATTGGTCCGTAAGAGTTTTTTCCTATGATTGCTATGCAGCCTTGACATGTCCTTGCAGCAGAGAGAGCAGCTCTGGGCTTGCCTAGACCACATACAGGCGATGTGGATGCAACGGATTCCAGCTCTCATTTGCTGCACTACACAGGTGGATGGGACAACCTTGCTGCGCCGGAAGGGATTATTCCGTCGATCGACGTGGGGTGAATGGTTTTACGCCCTTCGCACTCATCTGGCATGGCACAGGGCACACCAGTTGGGTTGTTCCCTATCCGTTCGCATGTAGGGATGGTTGTTGCAGATGTGTGATGAATCCTCATGTGGTGGGTACCAATGATGCGTCAGCGAACCTGATGCTGGGCAATTAGAGAGCAAGTAACCTTAGAGAAATTTGGTTGCTACAAACTGGCCGTGCCCAGATTGCGCTGAGGAGGGGGGGGGGGGGGGGGGGGGGGGGGGGGGGGGGGGGGGGGGGGGGGGGGGGGGGGGGGGGGGGGGGGGGGGGGGGGGGGGGGGAGCGGAGGTCGGGGGGACCACTGGATTCTTTATCCGATGGTCATGGTCCATGCAGAGCCTGCCTGCCACATTCAAGGAGCCTCCATTTGCCATGGGCGACGAGAGAGGGAGTGGTGGTTTGTGTTGTGATTTGTGGCAGCACCTGTGCCTGTGATGCTGCATTTGCAGGTAGGCGAATCGCGGAAGAAAAGTTCCCGTGGGTCATGACAGCGAGGAACAGACTTCAACCTGCTCCGTTGCTGGAAAAGCAGTTTGTGCGGGTGCTGATGAATTCCTGGATGGATTGCGCTGCACGGTCAGGACTCAGAAGAAGTCAGGATAAGAAAAGGTGCCACCTTGTACATCATGGTAGACAAGTACGCCCCATGCACCCACAGATGTAATTTCTTTTGTATTTTCAGTGGCACGGTAGTACCGCTCAACAGAAACTGGTATGTGGGAGGAAACGATGCAGCATTACCCCTCATCACAATGTCATGATGCTGCATGCCCCCACATGTACTGTTACGTGCGTAAACAGACCGCGTGCTGTGTTGTTTTTTCTGTGCAGTGCCCAATCGCTTACGGAGTTAAGATCTGTATAGTTTTGCTTTCTCATTTACAGGTTGCGTAGTGTTCAAGTTGAAACCGTCTCGGTGGCCATTCTTTGACGGTGAAGAATGGCTTTTCGTTCTCGCTTAGGCGCCAAGGGAAGGGATCATGCCCTCCAAGTTAATGTGTACCTTATCAGAAGCAGAAGCTATTTTATGTGGTAGCGTTGGTGGATCATAGTTGTGGTGGTGACCATGGCTAGGCTGTCTCACAAAACCTTGGTGGATCGCAGTTGTGCTGGTGGCCATGGTTAGTAGCCTGTCTCACAAGGCGTTGGTGGATCGTAGCTATGGTCGTGACCCATGGATAGGCTCTTGATCCTTACGGTAGTGGCATGTGGAAAATTGCTGTCTCTTCCGCTGCCATGGATGTGAAAACTCTGAACGGTTAAAATTGCTGGTCCCCACTCGGGAGAACCTCCCATGCCTGGCTTTTCCCCTTCCCCTTTCTTTGGATTGTGAAATGCGTGATTCGAGCTCGATGAAGCCATCAGTACCAATCCAGTTTGGTTGTTGTTTCAGTGTTTTGCGACATGTGGAAATCCGTGCCATGTCTTTCATGCATCGGAGATGAAGAAGTGCAGAACAATTACAGTGTTAGACCGGGCACGGATAGTGGCGGGACTAGTGATGCCTGGTATTTCCAAAAGTACCACACATGGCCAAACTGTGCGGTGACATATCGGAAGCAACTGCGATAAGCTCACCAGTACCACTGTGGCCTGTTTTTCTGTTCATTCTGTTCGCTTTCGGCTTCTGCCTTTCTCCTCCTCTGTGGTGAGGGTTGGTTTTCTTCTTCTTCTTCTTCTTCTTCTTCTTCTTCTTCTTCTTCTTTTTCTTTTTTTTTTTCCCCAAAACACACAGCCCCTTCTACCCTTCTATTCTGGGGGGCATCAGTCCGGTTGCTTATCACCGGCAAGCATGTTTTACAAGCAACTAGGAAGAGAAAGAGAAGACAAGAGAAGAGAAAGGAACAGCCATACCCTTGTGGCACGAGCCGCCTAAGCAAGGGGGTGACTGCAAAGGACCACCCCAGCCCCAGCACCCTTGTGGCACGAGCCGCCTAAGCAAGGGGGTGACAGCCATACCCTTGTGGCACGAGCCGCCTAAGCAAGGGGGTGACTGCAAAGGACCACCCCAGCCCCAGCCCACAGCTCCACCTCAGGGATTACCTTGCAGGTCGGGA